GATACATGCAAACCACAGCAGGCACTGAATACAGGGAAACTCATGGATGAGAAGGAGCATTAGTGCAGGTGCATCTTGGCGCCTGTGGTCCTTCTTCCTATTCGGCCATAAAACTTCCCAGGAGAGCGGATTCATGGCTCCTCTTACTTCTCAGAAGTTTGGGTGCTCAGTCAGAAAAGGGGAGCCCTGGGAAGGTGTCTTTTTGCCACTGTTCCTTCTCGATTGGTTCCAGCCCAAAATAACTGTTGCAAAGCGGCATGTTTTGGGTGGCGTGTGTCCACCCCCAGCACCCCCTCACGGTGTTCTTTGGGGGTGGTGCAGCTTCCGGGGATGCTGTCCAGATGCCAGGGTGTGAGGGGCCCTGACCCCACATGCTGCTGTCCGTGTCCCACAGTTGAAGTTGGAGGCGGACATGGGGCACCTTCAGGAGGAGATGATAAAGACGGGGAAGCTGCGGGCCAAGGAGAAACAGACCTTGGCCAAGTGGCAGGCAGGTGCTGGGGGCTGGGGTGTGCACACACAGCAGCCCCATGGGGTGGGGGGCGGGGGGAGATCGCTGTCCTGTGTGGATGAGAACACACCCAGAGCTCAGAGGACCCGCTAGAATCAGGATCCAGGACGTGTGCTCAGCCCAGGCTGGCCATGTCACAGACGTGGGACGGAGGCCCGCGCATGGCCACATGCTGCTGCTTGGGATCCCGCCCGGTACCCCACAGATACTCCCACCCCTCCAGGGACAGCTCATTTTCTGGGGGTCGTCAGGGCCCTGGGGTGGAGGGCTGCCAGCATCCAAGCTGGTGGGTGCGGCCGGCCAGGAAGAGAGTGGACACCTGGGGCAGCAGGTCCCCAGGTGGTGCCTCACATCCGCTGCCCCCCCCACCCCCCAGCAGGTGAAGGTGAATGAGCACAGGCAGCGCATCCTGCTGGAGTTTGAGAAGATGGGCCTCCTCCTGCTCGAGAAGGAGCAGTGCCTCCTCCAGGCCCTGAAGCAGGAGGAGGACGAGGTAGTGGCCAGGCTGCGGGAGAGCGCGGCCACACTGGAGCAGCAGAGCCATGCCCTGGAGAGGCTCCTGCTGCCACTGGAAGACAGGGACAAGCACACGCCCTTGCAGATGCTGCAGGTGAGGCAGATGCCCTGCTCACCTGGCAGTGGAGGGGAGCCCTCAGCACCCCTGCTCACCTGGCTGGTGGGGGAGGGGAGCCCTCAGCACCCCTGCTCACCTGGCTGGTGGGGGAGGGGAGCCCTTAGCACTCCCCCTCACCTGGTGGCGGAGGGGAACCCTCAGCATCCCTGCTGGAGGGGAGCCCTCAGCACCCCTGCTCACCTGGCTGGTGGGGGAGGGGAGCCCTCAGCACCCCTGCTCACCTGGCTGGTGGGGGAGGGGAGCCCTTAGCACTCCCCCTCACCTGGTGGCGGAGGGGAACCCTCAGCATCCCTGCTTACCTGGCTGGGGAGGGGTGGGGAGAGCCCTCAGCACCCCTGCTCACCTGGCCGGGGGTGGGGAACCCTCAGCACCCCTGCTCACCCGCAGTGGAGGGGAGCCCTCAGCACCCCTGCTCACCTGGTGGCAGAGGGGAACCCTCAGCACCCCTGCTCATCTGGCTGGTGGGGGAGGAGCTCAGGCCCAGGTGTGGTCAGGGCCGCTGACTGCAGAACAAATATAAACAGGGAAGGCTCTGACTCAGTCAGCTGAGGCTGCGTAACAAAGACCACAGGCCTGAAGCTCCAACAACACACATACTCTCTCCCCGTCCTGGGGGCTGGGAGTCTGAGCTCCAGGTGTGGGCGGGGCTGGTTCCTCCCGAGGCCTCTTTCCTCCTTGTGTGCTCACAGGGCAGTCCCCTGTGTGTCTGCGTCCTAAACCCCGCTTTCTGCAAGGACACCGATCTTCTGAGATCAGGGCCCACCCTAGTCACCTCACTTTACTGTAACCCCCTCTGTAAAGACCCCATCTCCAAATATAGCCACCTTCTGGGGCCCTGGGGGCTAGGGCCCCGGCGTATGCATTTGGAGGACAGTCTGCCCAGGCCCCAGGCCTGCAGACTGTGTCCCTTCCCTTTCTCGCCCAGGGCGGTGATGGGGGCAAGGGCTCACTGGCCCAGCGAGACCCTGACGGCGGGGGGTGACAGTGGCCGACAGGTGGGAAAGTTGTCAAGCACAGGGATCCACAGCAACAGATAAGATTTCACATATACGCACAGGCGTGTTTAGACAACAGAGGCAGATGCCGCCTGCAGGGCGCTGGACATCCTGCTTGCCTGGGTCGGTCCCAGGGTTTGTCTGTCGTCCTGAGCTCCCGTGGGCTTTGGGCCCAGGGAGCCACCTGCTGCAGACAAGTTAGTTGCCCAAAATTTGGGGAACGTTCTGTCTTCCATTAGAAAGCGGCTGGTCTGCAGGCTAATAGGCAGACGTCTTAAGTACAAAAGGCCCCATTCGATGGTCACCAGTCACGCCCCCCCCACCGCCGTCGCCGCCCCATGCCTTCACCACCCCCGCGAGCGGGATAGCGTCCAGCGTCCTCAGTTACAGGGGGACAGCAGGGGGCCTGGTGGCCAGAGGTGGAGGATTCCTATGTGCGGCCACGGCAGGGTGGCGCTCTGGAAAGTGGGTACGGGGCCCCAGGAGAACATTATAAAGCCCTTCTAGCTCTGCAGACCAGAAATGCAGCCATGACACCCCACATTCCTCATGAGGCCTTGCCCATTTCCCTCCCTGCTCCCTCTCAGGACCTGAAGGAGCTCCTGAGCAGGTACGTGGCCACCTGCGGGGTTGGCAGTGATGGGCGCAGGGAGGGGCTCTGCGTGGGGCCAGAGGGGACAGTGAGACCTGTGTCCACCGGAGGAAGAACAGCCTGAGTGTTCAGTACCCGGAGGCCACCCCTACCGTGCTGAGGACGGTCTGCAGGGTCCCCGGGCAGATAGAGGTGCTCAAGAGTTTTCAAGGTAAGCAGGGGCCCCGGTGCTCTGGGCTACTCCCCGCCCTGCCCCTAGTCACTCAGCGTGAGCCACCAGTTGGGGCAAACGCTCTGTAATGGACAGTCACGCTCTGGGCCCTGAGCTTCTGCTCCAGGGCCATGCTCTCCATTCTGTTCCTATGGGGACACAGATGGAGATGCCCAAACGGCCCCCTGACCGCCATCTCCTCAGCACCACTAATATGGACAGGTGGGGAAGGGACCCACGCAGGGACCCAGGCTCACAGCTGGACTCAGCCTTGGGGAGGTCTAGGGGATGGTCAGGGACGGCAGGGATGATCCGGCCCCCTTTTGCCATGGCCGCGGGCCTGTCTGCAGAGGATGTGGTGCCCGACCCCGCCACCGCATACCCCTACCTCCTCTTGTACGAGAGCCGCCAGAAGCGCTACCTGACTACTCCACTGGAGGGCGCGCCCCACGGCAAGGACAGATTCCTGGCCTACCCCTGTGTGGTGGGCCGGGAGACCTTCTCCTCGGGAAGGTACTCCTGGGAGGTGGGAATGAACCTCACCGGTGACGCACTCTGGGCGCTGGGCGTGTGCAGGGACAACGTGAGCCGCAGGGACAGGGTCCCCAAGTACCCTGAAAACGGGTTCTGGGTGGTGCAGCTGTGCAAGGGAAAGAAGTACCTGCCGGTCACATCTGCCCCGACCCCTGTCACGCTGGCCGAGCCCCCCAGCCACATAGGGGTCTTCCTGGACTTCGAGGCAGGGGACGTGTCCTTCTACAACCTGAAGGATGGGTCCCACCTGCACAGCTACACCCAGCCTGAATTCTCCGGCCCCCTGCAAACTTTCTTCTGCCTCGGGGCCCCCAAATCAGGCCAGATGGTCATCTCTACAGTGACCTTGTGGGTGAAGGGATAGGGGTAGAGGCTGGGGCAGTGAGGGCGGCCCTGGTTTCACGGGAAGGTGAGGTGGCCCAGCTCAGCGCAGGCCACCTGCCAGGCTTACCTCTGGTGGTTTCACAAAGATGAAATATAAGCCCGATTAAAGCAGTTAAGTGTTAAGAGAGTATATTCACACGTGTTTCATAAAGGAAACTCTGAAAAGCCGCTGAGTTTCCTAGTGGATCGATTCTGAGTAAGGACATCCAGTACCAGGAGCGGTGTGGCGTGTTTGCCTTTAAAAGCTGTCCCTGGGATACCCGCGCCCACCTAGGGATGGAGCCCGCGCACTGGCTCTGCTGTCCTTCGGGTTATTCTACGTAGAGCCGCGACTTCCAGGGTCCACCTGCTCTGTCTTCCATACATTCCATGTTTGCACCTTGCGCGGGTGTGTGTGTGTGTGTGGGGGGGTGATGGGAAAATGAACTTTCCACACTGATCCCTGAAAACCTCAAGGAAGTTTAAGCTGCACAAGCCGGGGCGCAATTCAGAGTAGGGGTCATGGGTGGGAGAGACTCCTCTCCACCCGCCGTTCTCTGCAGTTTCAGGCGCACTCACAACCCTGCGGCCGGCCGGGCACCCAAATCCCACTCAGTGTAGGCCTTCCTTCCCCAACCAGCCCAGAGTCTCCGCAGGCCGAGCCCCTCCCTCCACGCATCCCGATCGTGCCCGGCCCAGGGGCGCACTGGGCACGGCTTGGGGCTCGCCGCCGCAGCCTCAGGCCCCCCTCGTCCTCGCCGTCGCTGTGCTGAGCGGGGAACCCGGTGAACGTGCGGGGCGCCCCGATGGCCCGGCTCCTGCAACTGGTTCGGACGCGAGGGAGCAGTGACCTGGAGCTACCAGCGCGCGCGCAGACAGCGGCAGCGCCGCCGCGAGGTCACCGGGTGAACAGCCTCCAATTCTGTCCGGCCCGCGGGCCGCGTGACGGGCCGCGGCCAATCCGAGGCTAAAGCGGGTTGTTCCAAAGGAGAAAAAAAAAAAAAAAAAACCAGCTGCTTCCTGCTTCCGCCGCGGCTCCTCTTCCTGTCCGCGTCGGGGAGCCCTGCGCCCCGCGTCCCCGGAGCCCTGAGTGCCGCGACCCCCGGTGCCCTACGCCTCGCGTCCCCGGAGCCCTGAGTCCCGAGTTCCCCGGTGCCCTGAACCTCGTGACCTCAGGTGGCCTGAACTCCGCGTCCCCCGGAACCCCCGCGTGCCCCGCGCCCTGTGCCACGCGTCTCCGGAGCCCCCGCGTCCCCGCGCGCTCTCCAGAGTCCCGGCGGCGGAGGCCACCGCCCGACCCGGCGGAGAGCGCCGCCTTCCTCCGCCCCACCGGCGCCATGGCCGCCCCCGACCTGTCCACCAACCTCCAGGAGGAGGCCACCTGCGCCATCTGCCTTGACTACTTCACGGACCCGGTGATGACCGACTGCGGCCACAACTTCTGCCGCGAGTGCATCCGGCGCTGCTGGGGCCAGCCCGAGGGCCCGTACGCCTGCCCCGAGTGCCGCGAGCTGTCCCCGCAGAGGAACCTGCGGCCCAACCGCCCGCTCGCCAAGATGGCCGAGATGGCGCGGCGCCTGCACCCGCCGTCGCCCGTCCCGCAGGGCGTGTGCGCCGCGCACCGCGAGCCGCTGGCCGCCTTCTGCGGCGACGAGCTGCGCCTGCTGTGCGCGGCCTGCGAGCGCTCAGGGGAGCACTGGACGCACCGCGTGCGCCCGCTGCAGGACGCGGCAGACGACCTCAAGGTGCGGGGCGGGGCCTGGCCGGAGGCCCGGGCCGGGGAGGGGGGCGGGGGGGGGCGTACACAGGGTGTGCGTGCAGCCAGTCCCAAACCCGCACCCTCCTGGGGCTGGGCCACCAGCCCGGAGATCAGGAAGAGGCGCGCTCTCAGGGAGGCACAGGCCCCGCTAGGACTTCACATGGTGGGAGTCTGGAGGGACCGGGCAGGTGTGACTGACCATTGGCAGGGATGGAGCTCAGAGCAGAAGAAAGCAGGAGGAGAACCTTAGAGGTAGCTGGTCCCGTAGGGAGGTAGACAGACCAGGCCTTAGCCCTCAGAGGGTTGTGGACAAGGCTGGGCTGTGGGAAGTCAGCCAGGCCAGGATGGGTGGAGGACGGAGCCATTGCCCTGGGGGTCAGGTGCCAGGGTTGCTGCAGCCACCAGGCTTGGTGAGTGGGATACTTGGGGCCACTTCTGCCATCCGACATGCCAGGGATCAGCCCCGCTTTGACTCTAGGCTGAGATGCCTCCATCTGTTCAGGAAATGCATTTCTTTAAAATCCAAACCCACCCTCACCCCACTGCCGAGAGCCTCAGGGCAAACACTGCCCTGGTCCCTATCCTCTGCATTGCTCACCGGACCTCGGGACTCCTGGAACCGAGGTATGGAGTGCCTGGGTGGCACCCTTCTAGCTTTGTGAATGTGGTTTGCATTTGCTTCCTGGCCAGGAGCGTGTGTGTGCTGGGGTGCACCAGGGACATGGTTTGGCAATTGAGTCAATGCTTGGCCACTTTGTCGCTGTTACAGAACAAGCTCTGGGACACAGAACAAACTGGTACCCGATCTGCATCAATGGACTCGTTGTGACAGATCTCATAGTCTTGCTTCCGACTCCAGGGCACAACACACGTGCGGGATACCCCACCCTCTGTGTTAGCCCAGCAAGTGCGCACTCCTGTCACTGAGCGGAAAGTTATCATGAGGGCAGAGAGTGACCAGCAGCTCTCCAGAGGCACCTCCCAGCTGGCCCGATACAGACCCTTGGGGCAGCACTTACCCTTCCTATTGTAGGGGGACACAACCTTTTTCTCTAACCTGTTAGGTTTGCTGCACGAGGCTGGCAAATTAAAGGCAGAGTAACAAGTGAAAAGATGTACAGTTTTATGTTAGTCTTTTCAATCTCATAGATACAAGGGGCTTCACAGAGAAGAAGTGAAAGACCCAGTTAGACTGAGTTTATGTTCCATTTTAACATCGAATAATAAACTGGGGAGCAGGGGCTAGAGAAAGGAAAGGGATTTGGGCTTCTAGCACCAGGAAGACCTAAGGACGGGGGGTGGGGGGAACTGATGGAAGATCTGAGTAGAAGAGTCACCTGTGCTGAGTGCTCTCCTCTTCCTGGTACAGACGGAGGCAGAAAGGAGGAGGGCAGAGGGCCCTTCCTATGACTGCTCCAAATCGTCCCTGTGTCAAAAGTGGCCTACTCGGGGGTGGCACATTCCGACCCCCTTCATGGTGCTAGTGCCTAGCTGGTCTTCATCCTGGGGATGCCCAGCAAACTGTTTACCTGCCCCCCGGGCGAGCTGCACCTGATATTCATATACCCTGGGGTGCTGGGTCCCGAAAGCACCACCTCCCAGGCGTGGGTCCAGCTAGAAGACGGACAGAGCGTATAGTCAGGGCTGCACTGGCTAGGGGCCTACAGAGAGCCCAGAGCAGGCATGGAGAAGGAAGGGGGCCGGGATTAGGGGGAGGTCAGGAGACGGAATTCTGGCAAGGGGCCTGGGTGTCCGGGCTGTGCCCTGGCTGGCTAATTTGAGGTTGTCCGCGGGACATGCGCATGACTGTGGTTCCCGCCAGCCGACTTCAGGCTCTGTGGGCGTTGACCGTTGACGCGAGCAGGGACTGGGCCCACGCAGCAAAGGTCACTGTGGTCTCGCTTTCCCGCAGGGGAAGCTGGAGAAGTCCCTGGAGCATCTGCGGAAGCAAATGGAGGATGCACTCCTGTTCCAGGCGCAGGCTGAGGAGACCTGTGCCTTGTGGCAGGCAGGTGGCCCCGAGCAGGAGGTCGCGGGTGGGGAGTGGCCGGCACCTGAGCCCCCGCGGAGGGACACTGCGGCCCTCAGCGTCGCGCTGCTCAAGAGGAGGGAGCCCTGTCCCGGACCCTGCGTAAACCCCGCGTCGGGGCTGAGGTTGGGGCGGGCCGTGGGCCGGGGCGCGGGGAGCAGGTGGGGCAGGCCCTCAGCTGTGCTGTCCGCCCGCCCGCAGAAGATGGTGGAGAGCCAGCGGCAGAACGTGCTGGCGGAGTTCGAGCGGCTGCGCCGGCTGCTTGCGGAGGATGAGCGGCGTCTGCTGCGGAGGCTGGAGGACGAAGAGCTGGAGGTGCTGCCCCCGCTGCGGGACAGCGCGGCCCGCCTGGGGCAGCAGAGCGCCCAGCTGGCCCAGCTCATCGCTGAGCTGGAGGGGCGCTGCCAGCTGCCGGCGCTGGGGTTGCTGCAGGTGAGCCGCACCGCGCGCCTGCACGCGCGTTCCCGGGAAAGGCGGGGGCGGGCTCGCCAGGGCAGGTACCCCTCGTGTGACTGCAGCTGTGGTTGTGGACACAGATCCCGAAGCCCGCCAGCAGTTCGCGGGCCGCTCCTGGAGCCCGTTCGCGCTCGGGCGGGCCTGCGTGGTGGGTGGCATCCAGGGTCCATGGGTCACCAGACTGGCTCCAAAGGTTCGGGTCCACTGTATGGAGAAGAAAGGCTGGCAGGTGTCCCGTCGGAGCCCTGCATTAGCCCCGTGTCGCCCGGAGGCTCTGTCTGGCTCCTGACCCCTGCCCCAGGAAGGCGTGAGGACGCTATGTTCGCAGCCCAGGGCACTTCCCACCAGGGGTGGCCCTCCTGAGTCCCAGGGCTGAGCGGACCTTCAGGGACCAGGCAGAGGCTCTTGACGGCCCTCCTGGGGTTTGACCTTGGTCCTTCCACCGCTGCTGAGACCTCGGGCGGTTTCCGGCCTGGGAAACAGGAAGAACCCCAGGCGAGTGTCTGGCGGGGAGTGAGGGAAGTCGGCAGAAGTAGGCTGTGGTCACTGAGGTGGGGTCTGGGTGGCCAGCCAAGGAGGTCAGGGGAAGTGAATGGTGCTGGAGAAGCCAGAGGAAGTGGAGGTTCTGGAAAGAGGAGGGGTGGGCCCCAGAAGTGAGATGAGAACCTCAGGTCTGTATGAAACGTGATTTGGGGTCTCAGCTGAGATGTCCCAGTGTGTGGGACATCTGCACTCTTGGATTTCATACTAAAAGTGACCACCTGTGCCCCCGCTGCCCCTCCCTGCTCCCATCTGCTCGCCACTGCCCCCTACCTGCTTCCCACTGCCCTCACCCCTACCTGCTCACCGCTCCTGACCTGGGGTCTTTGCTTGGGTGGCTAGCTGCAGGGAAGAGTCCCCCTCACCCCTCTCCTCACCACCCCCCCAGCCTCAGGGCTTCCCCTTGCCTGTGCTGGGGGTAGAGGTGGGGTCTGCTGCGTGGAGAGGCAGAACAGCAGCCCCGGGCAGCCCCCGCCCCATTTACTGGTGTGAATAAGGGAGGTCAGGTGTGCCCATACAATCGGACCTCAGTGTTTGGCGGAGGCCCACCACAGGGAGTGGCCAGGTCAGGTTCTGGCACCTGGGGTGGGCAGGGGGTGTGCCCTCACAGACAGAGGAAGTGAGGGTTTGGGTGACTTCAGGAGGCCACACCCTGGGTCCCAGCTTCCCTTCCAGGCTCGCCCTACAGCCATCCTGTGTAGGTGCAGAGCCTTTTCCTAAAGGAACATGTGTGTCCCAAGGGGCCAGGTGGTGTACATGGAGGCCAACCCCTTTCCTTAAGGTCAGGACCCCTGCAGGACCCTCGGGGCAGGGAGGGTCTTGTGTGGTGTGTCCACACACACTGTTCCTGAGTGGGTTGGCCTGTGACAACCAGGACTATCCCCTTCACTTCCCAGCTCCCCAGGGTGGGCCACCCACCCCGCGAAACTACCAAGGACAGGCTGTTTCTGCTTTGCCTGCTGCCCACACCAAGCTCCTTGTGCCCCAGGCCCTTTGCACATGTCTCTTCCAGTCCTGCACTATCCCCCTCACTGTATCTTCAGAAACCTGCATTCTCCCTTTTCCTTTGAGGCCTCATGTGTCTTGTTGTACCCTCCCGCCAACCAACCCACACACAGACCATCACTTGTGTGTGGAGATCTCCCACCTCGAGGGAAACCCTCTATAGGCACCATGTCTTCTTTACCTCTGCACCCTGGGGTCTGGCCTGATGGCTGGTGCATGGTTAGAATCACCGCAGATGGGCCGCCTGTGATTGACGGTGTGGACCAGCCAGGTACCTGCTGTTCTCAGGGGTTCTAAAAAGACCAAAGACTTCCCATCAATAGCCAGTGTTCTAAGTAATTGAATGTCCCAGTCAGCTCGGGCTGCTAACAAATACCACAGGCTGGGAGGTTTAAACAATACACATTTATTGTGTCCCTGTCCTGGGGACAAGAAGTCGCAGATCTGGGCGTGAGTGGGGCTGGTTCCTCCGAGGCCTCTCTCCTGCCCGTGTCCTCACGTGGTCGGCGGCCTGTCTGTTCCTTAATCCCCTCTTCTGGTAAGGACTCCAGTCATGCGGGATCCAGGACTACCCTAGTGACCTTATACCCTAACCACCTCTGTAAAGACCCCATCTCCAAATACAGCCTCATTCTGAGTTCTGGGGGGTTGGGCCTCCAACATTTTGATGCGAGGGACACGGTCAGTTTGTGATGCTGAGTGAAATGCTTGTATGTGTCATTATGGGAGAGCAGAACATCCAAGTGGAGAGGCCTCACCTGGAAGGTGGGTGTGAGTCGACGGCTCCGAGAGGGCAGGCGGGCAGGTGCGTGGGACCAGGCACCAGTGAGCCCTGGGAGGCGGGAAGCGCTGGGCCAACACAGGCATGGCTCCCCGCTGGGGGTCCAGGACCCCTCCCGCCTGTCCCACCACCCAGGGGTGCTGGGGACTCTGGGTGGGTGAGCCGGTAGCCAAGGCGCTGTATCCTCTGAGTGTGCTGAGGGAGTGAGGGCAGGTCTGCAGGGCTGGCCGTGCCCAGAGTCTTTGGAGGGTCCCCGTGTCTCAGCTGCATATGGCAGGACAGCCCCTGCGTGGGTTCTCATCACGTGTGTGTGTCTGCAGAGCGGGCAGCACAAGGGTTTGGGGGCACTGGTGGCCGGGATGTGGGGAGGATCAGAGGATCCGGGGACAGGCGCTGATGCCGCGTGTGTCTCTCCCACAGGACATCAGGGACACCCTGCGCAGGTAGGAGCCGCGGCCTCTCCCCGGGGAAGGTGGGCGGGGCGCAGGGTGGGGCTGCCCTGGGGGTGACGCCTGCACCACCCCTGCAGGGTCCAGGATGTGAAGCTGCAGCCGCCTGAGGTGGTACCCATGGAGATGAGGACGGTGTGCAGGGTTCCGGGGCTGGTGGAGGCCCTGCGCAGATTCCGAGGTGGGTGCCGTGTAGTCCCGAGCGCCTGCGCGCTCGCGGGGCCCGGGTGGGTCTGCAGTAGGAGCGAACCTAGGCTCCCGGTTCACAGAAACCCCCATGGGGGGAGGGGCTGTGGGCTGACGCGTGCAGGGATAGCGGAGGTGAGACCCGACCGCCCTCCCCCCGGGGTCCAAGAGGTGGCGGAGCGCCTGCGTGCCCCCCGGGCCTGGGGAGTGCCGCAGGCTCCAGGAACTGAAGGGTGTGGGAAGATGGATGTAGGAAGCCCCTGGGGTTTCTTCTGTCCTCTAAAGGAGGGCGCATCGCAAGGGAGCACGGACCGCTTTCTAGAACGTTCCCAGTTGCGGGGGCAAGCCGTTAGGTGATTTTTTCAGACGGAGCATCATGGGGCATGCTCAGCGCGCAGGCAGGGGTGCACGGGCCGGCCTGCTGGCTCACGGGGCGACCTCTGCTCCGTCTGCAGGGGACGTGACCCTGGACCCCGACACCGCCAACCCCGAGCTGGTCCTGTCGGAAGACAGGAAGAGTGTGCGGCGGGGGGACCTGCGGCAGGCCCTGCCCGACAGCCCCGAGCGGTTCGACCCCGGGCCCTGCGTGCTGGGCCGGGAGCCCCTCACCTCGGGCCGCCATTACTGGGAGGTGGAGGTGGGAGAGCGGGCCAGCTGGGCGCTGGGCGTGTGCAGGGAGAACGCCAACCGCAAGGAGAAGGGTGAGCTGTTCGCGGGCAACGGGTTCTGGATCCTGGTGTTCCTGGGCAGCTACTACAACTCCTCCGAGCGGGCCTTCGCCCCGCTCCGGGACCCACCGCGGCGCGTGGGCATCTTCCTGGACTATGAGGCCGGACATCTGTCCTTCTACAGCGCCACTGACGGCTCGCTCTTGTACGCCTTCCCCGAGACCCCCTTCTCGGGGACCCTGCGGGCCCTGTTCTCGCCTCTGTCCAGCAGCCCGACCCCCATGACCATCTGCAGGCTGAAAGGCGGGCCTGGGGACTCGCTGGCTCCCCAGTGAGGGGGCCTCCCAGCTGCTCGGGAACCTGGGCAGCTCCTGCGGTCCTCTGAGCTGGGGAAGCGCTCTCGGTGCCCGGCGGATGTGCGGGTGCGCACTCACTCCTGCAAGTGTGTGCCCGCATGTGCGGGGCCGGCTTGGTCCTGTCGTCCGGGCGGAGGGCGCTGAGACACCCGCGTTCACCAGCGCGGGGCCCTGAGCCTCGCGCGCCCCCCCAGCCCCCGCGGCCCTGGAGCTGCACCTCCGGAAAGCTGCGGCCAGGAGGCAGCTCCAAGCCCGCGCGCCTGTGTGCAGGTCGTTCTGGAGAATGGGGGGCGGGATGGGCTTGCCCTGCAGTACCCAGGTACTGGGTGATAGGCCAGAGGAAGCTGGGAGGACACCTGAGCACCCCCCTCCCCTGAACACACACCACTGGGGGCTTCTGGCTCCTGTTGCAGAGGTTCAGATAGAGCAGGTCCCTGGTGCCCCGGGGTGAGCAGGCACAGAAGCCCCCCGGTTTCCCTCCGAGCTGCTCAGAGAACCCCCAACTGGAGTCACCCTCACAGTTCTCTCCTCGCTGGCCTGGGGGCCTCCTGACCGCAGAACTCAGCTTACCTGGTCCCCAGTCCTTACTGCCCTGCCTGGGGGCAGGTGAGGCCTCAGAGAGCACCCCCCCACACACACCTTCTCGCTACCAGAGTCTGAGATTTGTCTTTGCTTTGTTCAGACTTTGCGTCACCCTCCCTAAAGGTCTGCCCCAGCTTCTTCGTACCACTAGATTGTATTTATTGTAAGGACTGTTCTCACAGTAAATAAACTAACCGTTGTCTGTAATCCACTGTTTGCAATTAGGGGGAGGGGAGGAAATGCCGGGGGCGGGTGGTGTGTGACACAGAGGCAGGACCCCAAGGTCAGGTTCAGGGGCACTCTCCTGTGTGTTCATTTCACACACCAGCCTCAGGAGTTGTTTTCTTGTTTTTTCAGAGAGCCTGAAAATACTCTGCAGGTGCCATTGTGTTCAGTACCTAAGTACTTTCCCGTGTACTTGGTTACACAATCATTCTCCCATTCTGGGGCTTTTTCCTGTTTTATATATACAGAGAAACACACCACCCCGTTCCGTCTTCAACAGTTCCTTCAAATTACATACACGGGCGAGTATTTACCCCTGTGGACCTGGGTTCTGGCAGTTTCCCACCTCTCTCCAAGCAACTTCCTCTGCCTCGCTCCCTGAATCTGGGTGATACTGGCTGTTTTCCCCAGGAGCAAGATTGGACCGTGAGGGTTTGGGACTTGCACGATGGCCATCGGAAACCCAGCTGGAGGGACACCCTCGTGGGTAGGAGCGCAGACAGGCACACGGCCACATGCAGGACACCAGGATGGACCTTCTGAAAAGTTGCCTGCCCCCTTCTGAGGGCTTAGCTCAGAGCCCCGTGATAAGAGATCAACAATAGAAAAACAAGTTCTCAACACCCAGACCTCATGTACCGGGGGAGATGACCTGAGGAAAATGAGGACCTCAGAGCAGGAGCCTGGAACCACAGCTTACACATGTTCAACCAGCACACGATGGTGTGGATACATGTCGGGATGTGTTAGGCTTCAAGGCATCAGCCCCATGGAGGTAAACAGTGGTAGACGAAGGCCAGTTAGTAGGATCCTGTGGGGTCCCCTGGTGCCATGTCCAAGCTGATAGGGTCTAGAGTTCTCTCCTGTGACCGGCAGTCCTTCCTGGCATGGAGGACGGAGACAGGGACACCTAAATTTACGTCCTGCTCTTAGGGAGGTAGAGGAAGGGCACCTGCTTCTCACCTGCCTCCAGCTCAAATTAATCCTCCTGCCCAAGTGGGCTACTTGCAGCTGTCACATCCTGCTACCCTGCAGCAGGGAGAACGAGAATAAACCTCAGTGATGCCCATTCACAAGGTGCACCCAAAATTCACATGCTTGCTCTTTCCACGTGGCCTGACTGCTTGCCTCCAAGGACCAAGGGTGCCATCCGCTGTTGCAGATGGTGGACAGACCTCTCCAGCAGCATGCAAGCTCCTGCCTGTGGAGCTGATACCCATGTGAGGGGTGGGTGATGACCTGTCACAGATGTCCCCACTAGCAGGTGTGAGCCCCTCCACGACCCACTGACGAGCCCCTCGTGGTGGATAAGTGCTCCGGGGGCGGATATGGCAAGGATGACAAGTGCAGAGCCAGGATGTGTGGGAAGTGGCCAGCCCTCTAGAGCTTCCACAAATAACCCTACACACAGCCCACCATGTCCTGAAGTGCCCAGAAGCCTTGCTTCCTGTTGGCTCAGCCATCCAATGGGGAAACGGGAGAAAAAGCAGGTAGAAAGGAGAAGCAGGCCGTCTGGGTTGTGCAGTGAAGACAATATTCAGGAACGGGGTTAATCTTAAGGCATTAGTAAATCCGGTGAAAAGAAAATCCGACAGTAAAGCCAAACGTGCTGGGGCTGGCGCTCAGTCTCTGCAACCCTTCCCCTCCTGCACCTCTCCTGGTCAGTAGAGCATCCACAAAATAGTATTTTATTTTACTTTTTTATTTTATTTTATTTTATTATTTTATTTTATTTTTTATTTATTTTATTTTATTTTATTTTATTTATTTTATTTTATTTATGTTATGTTAGTCACCATAGTTAATCATCATTAGTTTTGGATGTAGTGTTCCATGATGTATTGTTGGCATATAACACCCAGGGCTCCATGCAGTACGTGCCCTCCTTAATACCCAACACTGGGCTAACCAATCCCCCCACCCCCCTCCCCTCTAAAACCCTGTTTGTTTCTCAGAGTCCACAGTCTCTCATGGTTCATCTCTCCCTCCGATTCCTAGTGTCCTCCATGCTATTCCTTATGTTCCACAAATAAGTGAAACCACATGATAATTGACTTTTGCTGCTTGACTTATTTCACTTAGCATAATCTCCTCCAGTCCCATGCTGATGTAAAAGTTGGGTATTCATCCTTTCTGATGGCTGAGTAATATTCCATTGTATATATGGACCACATCTTCTTTATCCATTCGTCTGTTGAAGGGCATCTCAGCTCTTTCCACAGGTTGGCTACTGCAGACATTGCTGCTATGAACATTGGGGTGCATATGGCCCTTCTTTTCACTACATCTGTGTCTTTGGGGTAAATACCCAGGAGTGCAATTGCTAGGTCATAGGGTAGCTCTATTTTTAATTTTTTGAGGAAACTCTACATGTTTTCCAAACGGGCTGTACCAACTTGCGTTCCCACCAACAGTGTAAGAGGGTTCCCCTTTCTCCACAATCTCTCCAACATTTGTTGTTTCTTGCCCTGTCCATTTTTCCCATTCTAACTGGTGTAAGGTGGTATCTCAATGTGGTTTTGATTTGAATTTCCCTGGTGGCTAATGATGATGAACATTTTTACATGTGTCTGTTGGCCATTTGTATGTCTTCTTTGGAGAAGTGTCTTGTTCTTGTCTTCTGCCCATTTTTTGACTTGGTAAAGAACTTTTGAAACTCGGCACATAAGACGGTTTTAACAGACAAAGCGTCTGTCTTCTCCTGTTCCCTCACATGGAGACACCTTACTGCACCTAATCCGACAGCAGGTCAGTGACATAAGTGATGTCCCGCTTCGCGAGGCCTCGGGGAAGCTGGGTGGAGTCTCAGAGAGCACAGCCTGGATCTTAAGTACCTTCACTGAGGTCTTATTGTACTTCACCTGTGGCACACGTACAATTGGGTGATTTCACACACTCTGATAGAGTTGCGCACCTAGCAGCGCGCACCCCGTCACCCCGAGCGCGCTGGAATCACTCCCGGAGTGGAGGCTGCCCGCGCCCGCGCCACAGCATCCGCGCCCCCCCGACCCGAGTCCGCACGACCCGAGGGTCCTTCTGGGGGCGCCAACTGCACCTGGAGTCCGAAGGTCCCGGTGGAGGCCAGCCCAGTCCCACCTGCGCTGCACGTGACCGCCCCGCCCATCACCCCTGCAGCCCCCGCACGTGCCCCTACTCTCCCCAGGCTCCACGACCCCCTTCCCCTCACCCCGCAACCGCCCGCATCCCCCGCATCCCTGGGCCCCCTCCTCGGTCCTCCCGTCCCTCCAGTCCCTGCTTGGCACCCCGCGCATCTCCCACATCCTCCCTGGGACCCCCGCCCTTTTGTACCCCCAGGCACCCCAGACCCTCCCTGCTTCTCATGCCCCTGTCCCCCATGTCCCCTTAGCGTGTGCGCCCGCCTGAGTCCTCTGCACCCCTGCACTGACCCTGCCCTGCGCAAACCGACCCCCCTCCTGATGACCCTAGTACCGCCATAGAATCCAGCTGTTTCAAGTGCACAGTCCTGGCCGGTAGATCCCTGTCGGTTGTCTTCATGTTGCTGGATTCAGTTTCCGGGAGTGTTACATTCGCGGTCGGTGACGTGCGTCTGCAGCTGTCCAGTGGCTCGCAGGTCCCTGCCCTACTAGTTTCTGAGCCATCTCACGCAGGACTGCTCTTTCCTCCATCGTGGTTTTCTGGGACTTTCCAGCGAGGCCTTCCAAGTCCAGGCTCTTCTACTTTCTGTTACTATTTGTTGCTTGTTGCAGGTCTGTTCAGATTCTCCATTTCCGAAGTAACGTTTCTCCTCTTTCATTTTTCATTTTGGTGATTTCCTTGTTTTTTCTTGGTCAGTAAAACTAACATTTTGTCAAAATGATTTTGACGTTTTCAAAGAACAACTTTCCGTTTCATTTGGTATTCTCTAGTTTTTTCTGTTTTTCATTTAGGTGATTTCCACCCTCGTCATGATTCCCACATTTTTGCTCACTTTGGGTTTGGTTTGCGTGTCTTTATCTCTGTTTCTTAAGGTTGATTTCAGGCTGTACTTCTGTTCCAACGCAGACATTTGCGGCTATAAATTTCCCTTGACACACTGCTTTAGCTGTATCCCATGACTACTGATACTTTGTTTTTATCTTCATCCAGCCCAAAGCACTTTCTAATTATCTTCATAATTTCTTTTTTTTAAAAATTTTATTTATTTATTTGACAGAGAGAGACA